CCCAGAAAGGAAGGGGTCACACGTGAGATGCAAATGAAATCTTAAGCTCCCAACCAACTGAATGAAGCCCTCTGGGCCAACAAGATTCCAGAAAAACCTCAAAATCTAAGTTTTCCAGCCATGACAAGACAGGTCAGTCCTGCCTCTTTATACCCTGTCCCTTGCTAACCACCAGTAGACTTTTTTTTTCTAAAAGTTAAGCAGAAACCAGCCCTGGAAACAAAGAACGGAAGACTCAGTCCTTCGCTGACTTCAACCAACTGCCTGGTGCCACTCCCTTCCCCTCTCGCCAGCATTCCTTCCCTGTGAGTGACTACCAACCCCAAGCTGGGTCTGGCAGTTCACAGAAGCTGTGTCCAGGGTGCTCTGCGTCCTCCTTGTGCCTTTTGACATATACAGCTTAATTTTACTACATTTTAATGTTGTCTCCACCCCAAAGTAAACAAATAGAGGATGTATGTAACATACATGTTTGCTTTCCGCACGAGCGTGACTTCCCTCATGAATATTCATATCTTCCTCCTATAACCGATTAAATATGTATGTCTAGCTAATCTACCAAGCAGAAAACTCCTGTAACATCTTCCCTCCCTCTAAGTGCCTGTTTTCCATCCCTATGGGAGGCTATGCTTCCCGGCCCGCAGGTTGCAATCCTTTACAAGAAATAAAGTTCTCCTTTCCAAATTTACAGATTTTGTGATTGTAAGTTGGCATACATAAATCAGAATTGGGCTTAGCTGTCACATTTCAGGTGAGAGCCCAGGGTTGACAGGGTGCCTTCGGTGTCAGGGACTCAAGCTCCACCCATTTTGTTGCTCCATGGCCTCTTCCCTAACCTCACCTCGTGGCCCCCTCTGGCTGGAGCAGTGCTAATCATTACATCTGCACTGCAGCCAGCAGGGAGGAAAAAGCAGAAGAGAAGGTCCTCTCCTCCCTTTAATGACACTTCCTGGAAGTTGCACAAACCATTTCTGGTTTCGTTCCATTGTCCAGAACCTGGTCATATGGCCACACCTAGTTGCGAGGAAAGCTGGAAAAAGTAGTCTTTATTCAGAATAAAAATACCCCTTTTCAGCCGAGGGGGCCTATACGGTCCCTTAACCTGCCTGAGCCTTGATTTCCTCACCAGTAAGACTGAGTCATCATAACTGCCTCATGGGGTTGGGGTAAATACTGGATCCAATGAGATCACATACATCAAAGTTCTGGCACATAGTAGGTGCTCAGTTAATCGTAGTTTCTCTTCCCTGCTCCTATGCCCTACCTGGAACGAAGACCAGTGAATTAGTAAGTGCAGGCTGTGGCCATATCCTCAGGCAGTCAGTTATCAAGGGCCCATATATTCACAAGCAGGCAGCACAAAAGCACACAAAGGGAGATGAAAATGACTTCTCACTACCCCTCCCACACCAGTCCAGGGCTTATACACTTCTGGGAAAGCTCCTCTCCTTATTTTGCCCTTCAGGGCCATTGTACCATCTTACTCGTTGCTCACCTAGAAACATGGCAGGGTGGGTGTGGTTAGGGGCCAACATGCCTGTATCCTCAACCCATACACCACCCCTCCATCATGGTACAATGGTGCCATCCACCCTCTGGAGTTGATCAGAATTCCATCCCTCCACTTCCCAATACTGTCCCAGACCCTACATCCTATGGGTTAAGAAAGAATTGGGGTGAGAAGGAGGGAGGCCCTGTCAAGGCGTATTGGTGGGAGAGCCTTTGGCCTATCACGATGAAGACTGAGAGTGCTCTGAAGGCCCTTTAAAATGTTAAGACATGTCTGCCCCCTCTAGAGAGAGCATCCAGGAGACAGGCTCTCGTCCTGCTTGTGTCACTACTGCAGAGAGGCCAAGGCCTCAATGCCTTATCTGCAACACAGGACCCTCCCTGTCCCTGCTACCTGACCATTCAGTGATGCAAGTGAGGACACCAGGGGCCACATCCCCTGCCTTTAAGCACCCAGCCTCCCTGTCAGGAAGCCCCCCCACTGTGTGTGCTGGGGGCAGGGCTGGAAGCTCACCCGTCGTAGAGCCTCCTGACCAGGCTGCCCTGCTTCATCTCCGGGCTTCCTGCTTTGTGGTAGCCCCCTCACTAAACACTGTCCCCAGGACTACCCTCCCAGCCTCATTTTGATCTCGGGAGGACACATAAACCTAAAATTGAATCCCCTTTTTGTGAAGTTACCCAGAATTGATTTTCATTGTTGAAAGATAAATACCCCAACCAATACATAAGTCATTCCCACTCCCTGGACACGGAAGTCCTCTTTCTTTAATGTGGGGCTCTTGCCCTGCTGCCCATCCTTGGCTTTTTCCCTGCCCCTGCCCCCCTTTTTCCTTATCAGCTACTGAGATCTCTTCCCTCTGGTCCCTTTTTTAAGGGAGAAAAAGGAGGGCGTAAATTCGGGATGAACAAAACTATTTAGATGTATAACCTTCAAGGTAGCTCCCATCCCAGCCCCGCCCCGCCCCACCAAAAAAAAAAACACTCATAGCCAACCAAACTGCATTGCTTTGAATTAGATTGTTTTTGTTGAGTGGTCCTTCCCGGAGCTGAGTGCCAGGCACCGTGTTAGGCACATGGGACACCACTGAATAAATACCAGCCTTCCCTGGAGCAGCTCACAGTCTAGCCTCCCCAAACTCATCAAAATCAAAGCCACTCGGCAGTCATAGTGTCCTCATGTTTTATGAGATTTTGCGTTATGTGAATCTGACACTATGATATAAAGATATTAATAAAGTCTCACTTTATATGCAAAATTTGAAATAATATGTATCCCAAACATTTGCTTTTAAGCATGAAGAATGTTGAAGCTGGCAGTCCAGTGAATTGTAAACTCACTTGTCTGCATGCTCACCGCACAGCAATGCCACTTTAGCTGATAAACAGAAACACCTACCAACCTTTGTCAGGATTTGTTCTAAATTATGCAAGTTTCTAAATTATACAAGACCTTCTGGAGCATGTGTCTCAGACACAATGCGACGGGTCTGGTGTTCTGAGTTCTGGCTCTGGAATCAGGGTGCCGGGATTTTACTCCTGACTCCATCCACCACTGCGATCTTGGGCAAGGCGTGGAACCTTTCTGTGCCTCAGTTTCCACATATGTATGATCAAGATAATGGTGCCAACCTCTAGGGGGCTTACGAAGATTAAATGGCTTCTTCCATGCAATCTGCTCAGAACAGCACCTGCAGCTCTGCAGCAAGCAGGGACTTGCAGCATCTCACTGAGCTGTGGGTTGGCAGGAAGGGGACATCTGCTAGTGCACTATGGGGAACCTAAACTGCCATCCAGAGCTGGAGCAGGTACAGCATCGCTTTGCATGTCCCTGGACCCTGACGTCTAGTCAGTCGCACAGCTGCTGGAGACCCTCTTCACAAAGGCAGGCCTCCTCCTACTCCAGCGACGGCACTGCCCTTTTGCATGCGAGGGCACCAACCAGACACTTGACCCTGACAGTCTCTGAGCTCTCATTTCAGAGACTGTTCATAGACACTCCAGACTCTTAAAGCTGACCCAGCCGCATCCTCACCCAGAGTAGAAAACAGAGTTGGTGCCTTGGTGTCCCCGAACAAAGCCCCCGCTCGGCACCCCCGTGTTCCAGAAGCCTATCTCTCCAAAGTGCTCCTTCACAATTCACTTTTTTAAGAGTCAATCTAATATGATAGAAATCACCCTGGAGCTTACCCTGGGAAAGCACAAAAGGGAGGCCCACTTAACCCAGCTTGGGGGTCCAGAGAGGATTTCCCAGAGGAAGGAGGAGTCACTGCACTTCACTTCCCAAAGAGCACCAAGGAGCCAGGTGACAGGGGAGGGGCGGGGAGGGCAGCTGACCCAGCATGGGGAATAGCTTGCACAGAGGTGTGGAGAAGAGAGAACTGGCACCTTCCAGGAATTGCCAGTAGCTCCATATAGAGTGGAAAGAGTGTGAACCAAGATCTAACTGACTCACTTCCAGATAACATGGTTTCTGGGGCACATGAGTGAGGCCCACCCTCTAGGAGGTATTTGTCATCTTCTTCGCACTGTGGCTGCCTTTGGTGAGCATATGGGATCCTTCTCAGAATTATGCCTTTAAAAGCATAAAATAAAATATATACGATTGCAAAAGAAACCAATCAAAGTATCATCAAAATACTTATTAAATGCAGTCTGTAGTAATATATGTGCCTTTTATCGATGTATTATATGACAAGATCTTGTGGTCGAGGAAGTAATTGATGAGCAAAACTTATTTTTCAAAGTATTAAAACATCTGTAATATAGTATGAAAACATCTGTGATTCCTATTAGTGACAAATCCAAGGTGTGGCTAATTCTGCCATCGTTTCTTACCTGCTTTGAAATGAAAGGAAATGCTCAATTTCAGTTAAAGTTTAGTGAAAAGAAAGACGCAACTTTTTCCCATTCAAGGTCACAGACCCTCTGACTTTTTCCTACACTCTCCTGCCTTACACCAAAGACCCAGCTTTGTGCCCACAGCCCAGTGGTTAAGAGCATCCAAGCCAGACCTGCTTTCTCAGTTAATGCTGCACGACTTGGGACAAGACACTCAGCCTTCCAGTGCCTCCACTTCCTCATGACTGTGAGGATCAAATGAGTTAATACACACAAAGCAGTTAGAATACTGCCTGCCACATAGTAGGTGCTCACTAAAGAAGGACAAGCTGTTTTCTTTCTTATTCTCAGCGCCAAACACAATGGAGAGAGAAGCCCACAGATGTGGGGCATTATTTACTAACCAGAGTCATGTTAATAAGCTCACAAAGCACAATTAGCAGTCATTTCAATTCTGAGGTTTGCTTGACTGTAAAAGCTTCACATTTCTTCCTCCCTGATTTCTCTGCTAATTACAACTGCCGCCGTCCATCGCAGCTGCCACACAACGCCGGTGCTGGCTGCCTCTAACGTAGTTGTTAAGGCAGCATAATGGTGCACAATGACTAATTGGCCATCGTGCCCAGGATGAATGGAGTCAGACAACAGCGGCTGGCCAGTTCCTGGCCTTGGGACCCTGAGCTGCCCAGCCCCAGCACTCTCTCAGTGCACCCCTCCTCTACCCTCCCAAGCTGCCCCATAGGACCAGACGACGAAAGGGTGCAGGGACACGCGTGCAGAACTTGGAGGCTCTGGGGGCCCTCCCTGAGGCCAGTCCTGCCCCTAACTTGCTGTGTGACCATGAGTTAGCCACTGAGTGTCTCTGGGCTGCACTTTAATCATCTATAAAACGAAAGTGGGAGGAAGTAGGCCTAGATGCTTCCTAGGGTCCTTCCAGCTCCCACCTACTGTACTTTGATTATTCCACGGGAGGTTCCCCTTCAAGTGCCTGCGCGGCCACTCCCCAGCCACTGGGGCACCTCAGCCTGCCTGAGGGTGAGGAAAGGCAGGTGGAGTTCAGCAGAAACAGCCATGCTCACCAAATATTCCATCTAGAACCCCACACATCCCAGCCACCTTGCGGTTAGCTGAGGTCACGTGACAACTCTGACCAATGGGCTGTGGGCAGAAGCAATAAGCACCACTTCCGGGCTGAAGCATGGAGAAGCGGAGAAGCCGAGAAGCATGGATCTCCCTGCAGTTTCTTCTGGTCTTGTGGCCCAGAAGGCCTTGTGGTGAGATGGTGGAACTGAGCTGAGCTGGAAGCAGCCCAGGTTGCCAAATTGTCACTTGGAAGACACCCCTGCTGACCTTTGTAGAGGTACGAAAAGAACCTTATGCCATTAACATTTTCAGGCTATTGTCACCATGGCATAACCTGACCTATCTTGTCTAATATAGATATTTTCCCAAAAGGACTCAAATAATGGATGTTTTATATAAATGATTTAGGAGGCAACTGCTTCATAGTGCAACTAAGAGGTACATTAGAGCAAAAGAAAGTGAACTTTCTAACAATGCGGCAGGATCAACAATGAAATGAGCAGTCTTCCCAAGGCCCCCTCACTGTATTCCCCATAACTCTTCAAGTGAGGTGCTTAAAACCAATCTTAATGCACCAGAAATATACAGGAAGTCTGAAGGGCTGGTGACCAAAGTAGAGAGTGAGACACTGGGTGTTCTCTGGCACCCAGGGGGAGTTTTCGCTTGATAGTGAAAATGGGTCTGGTGGAAGAAGATTCATGGGGTGAATTTCAGGATTGAGAAGGAAATGTTTGGGGGTGGGTTTTACTCTAGGATTCCATCTATCAAGAGGATGTTAATGAAAGAATTGAGCGCAATTTGGTTTTTCTCTTTCCCAGCAGCAAAATTTCACCCAAGGAGATCTCCCATTCCTCTTTCCTGGAAGAGATTCCAGAGTAAGCAAGAAATAGATCCCATCTCACCTCTACAGGGTGTGAGAATCCTACAGAACTCGTGTGCATTTTGTAAAACCACAGACTTCTTGAGTTTGGAAATAACTCTGGAGTCTTTCAGTCCTAAGTCACAGACCCCAGCATTGATTATGGAGTCTACAGCAGCACAGAATTCCAGGGTCACAGGAATCAAAGCTCCAGGACAGTCCTGGAAAGAAACAGGAGAGCGTAGCCACCCATCAGCCCAGCCACCAAGGCCTAACCCACCAGGGGGGCTATATTGGCTTCTTCTTGGGGACGCCCAGTACAGCAGGCTCCCCGGACCTCCCTCCCCGGGACTGTGTCTCACACTCCCACAGCGGGATTGCAAGCAAGCTGCCCCCCTGCAGCAGATAAATAAATAAATAAATAAAGAACATGACTTTGTGTTTGAAGGATGAATGCCAAGTTTCCTCTCTGGGGCCCTCTCCCAAACCTCTGTATATCACCTCCACATGACCAGGCTGTCAGGCCTGCCACCCGAAGCTCTGCTTGGCTGTGATAAACACAGAAGACAATGCATTGCCTATACCCTCAGGCCCTGAAATCAGGGAGGGGGTAGAAAAATCCATTGAAGCCATTCCAGATTTATGTTTGAAACCTTCCAGATTTATGTTTTCCTTTGTCAGGGGAGAAAACAAGCAGATGTTCCTAAAGGTGAACATTAGAAGCCACCGCACGTGTGTGGGGGCATCGTGCCGTTTTTGGCAACCAAGCTGAGTTCAGTTTTTGCACCAGTACCTGGGCGTGCACACTGACAGGCCCCCATCCCACCACCTTTGGCTTCCTTGAGTCTTTCCTTGCTTTGAATCGCATCCTCGACTCCTTCTCCAGGAATACTTCCCAGATTAGACTCATCTATTTCCCAGCCCTTCACCTCAAGCTCTGGGACTCTTCTCAGCCCCCAGTGAATATAGGTCATTCCATAATTGTTTGTTTCTTTTCATTCCATGAACTCCTAGAGAACGTTGGCTGCCTTTCCCCCATCAGACCAGGAACGCCCCCAGGGAAGAGACATGTCTCCCATCAATCCAGGTACTCGTATGGACAGAATGCCTGTCCTCCCACGCTATCCCTTTGGTAGGTTAATTCACCCTGCATTAAAAAGATTGTGACTATACCTTCTAAAACAGGTATTCCAAACAAGGGGAGACACTTGTGGAGCTTGAAAGTGCACGCAAAATGCTTGTCTATACTATAGCTTTCAAGTGATTCCTAAATAGATCTGTTGAGAGCCAGAATGAGACCTTTGGAAGCACCCAGCACTGAAAAGACTGTGGTGCTGCCCTACTAGCACCCACATAGGTAATTCAAAACAAAACGGCACGGAGCTGTGCAATGCAAAGCGCCCATGATGCCTAAGTTCATCAGAGTGAAACAGCTCATATTTTGCTAATACCCTTAGTGCCTGCTAAGTCCCCTTAGCATGTAGGTGACTCCCGCCCTGGGTCTGCTATGTAGAAGAGGTGAAAAAGCACAGTTTCTGGGGGAGGTTGAGAGCAAAGCTGGTGACTCCCAGGATGGAGATGGAGAACACGTCCCTCCCGGCCTCGGAAGTAGGCAAACAGGCAGGATATGAGGCTATATCTGCCACTGGAAACCTCTGTTTCCCCAACCGGGGCAGGAGCTAAGGGGGCTGGAGCCATTTCTGTGTTTTCCAAACTGGGATCAGACACAAAGAAACTATACTATCAGCTGGGCTTTGCTAGGCTTGGAAACCTCTGAGCTCTTCCCTCCCCAAATACCCACGCCTGCCCCTTCCCTGCCCTCCCTCTCTGAACGCAGGAAAGCACCTGAAATGCTCCAGTGAAGCAAGGACTTGAGGACGCTCATGAAATCCTCCACTGTCTTCAAAAAGTCATCAGCCCTGAATCTGGTCGTCCTCATAGACCCCAAACCCACTCCACCATGGCCAAACCAAACATACCCTAAGCACAGCCCTGGAAGCCAAATCACCTAAGCCAAAGAATCAAGGTGAAGGTTGAGACCCTGCTTCTCAACTCCCTCAGGGCTCAGAAACCATCAGGAGATGCACAATGGATGTTGGATAATGTCTGGGGCTCTAGACTAGGAATTGGGAAAACCGGTACCAGTTTCTGGCTCAGCCACTGCTGTGCTACTAGATCCTGGGCAAGCCACTGACCACTCTGCCCTCACTCTCTCCATCTAGAAAGGGAGGAGGCTTGGCCATCAGAGCATGGATAACATCTGTGTGTCTTGGCCGGGGGTCTACACCCCAGAGAGGGCCAGGGTGAGGAGGATTCGCCTCAGAGCCTTTTCTTGAACTCAGGGTATTAGTCTGGTCTTCCCAAGGCCCCAGGTCACTAGCCAACTCTCCCTCCTAAACCGGGCATTAGCCTCCAGGAAGAACCTTTGGATGGGAGACTGAGCAAGAAGCCAGTAGCCTGGCCCTTGGAGGAAGTGTGGGCAGAGAATGGGAACAAAGGGGGTGAGCTCTCAGACCCTAACCCAGCTCAGGGGAGAGTGTGACTGGTTTCCTTTGGGCCCCCAGGGCTTTCTCTGTTAGAAAAGAATAGAAGTGCCAGAAGTGAAAAGGATGCATGAGGAAACTAAGGTTTGCTAAGATTTTGCTAGGTGCTAGGCACATAAATAACTGCATTTAATCCCCACAGTCCTATGAAATACCAGTGTTGTCTCCATTTTACAGATGAGAACACTGAGGTTCAAAGAGGTCAAATGACCTGCCCAAGATCACACATCTAGGAAATGGCAGGACTAAGACTCGAACTCCAAATCACATGGTCTTTCCGTAGGTGCACTCGGGATGGGACCTCTGGCATCGGGCTCAGAGACCCTAAGATACAGCCTGACTGGGGATCCCCTTCGAGGAACTGGCAGAGTAGTCAGGGTGTGCTGAGGTAGGCCCCCACCTCTCCTATCCAGGGTATTTCCTTCCTTGTACTCAGGAGGCTCTCAGAGCCCAGACAACCCTTTGTTCCCCTCTGCTCTGAACCTGACACTGGAGAGACCAGCAATCAGTCACCCCCAGCCTCCTCCCGGAAGTGCAGTACCTGGGCTGGAACAATCTCCCCTGCCTCCCCAGCTCTCCATGCCACACTGTGCCCACAGCCCTGCTGGGCCAGCCCCCGCCCCCTGACTGCCTGACTCATGACCACCCTGTAATGGAGCATGAAGTCTAATTGCATCCCCTAATGATAGCCCTCAGCCACCAGGAGACAGGTGCAGAGGTGGCAGGGAGAGCCAGAGAGCTGGAACTGGGAAGAGGCAAGGGCTCTGTCACACTCTTGTACCTGCAGGGGACTGGGGAGGGAGTGGGGATTAGAGGGTTAGGGGTCATGGGAACTGGGGGGATGCTGGGATGGGGAGGGGCTCGAGCCTTCTGGAACCACAGAGTAGGGCTCTTGGTAGTTCTGCAGCCACCAGATCCTTCCAAGAGAACATTCTTAAACAGCCCTGTTAGCAGCATTCGCTCCTCCAACCACTGTTTCACTCCTCCAACCACCACTGAAAGGAAATAGGATCCATTCGAGCAGAAGTCAGCCAGTCACAGCAGACTCAGGTGAAAGGCAGTGGCTCAAAAGGCACGACCCCTGGGCTTGAAGGCCAGTGCCACCATCAACTTGCCATGTGACCCTCATAAGTCATGATCCCTCTCAGGGCCTCCGTTTCCTTGACCACAAATTGGGATTTTGTTCAGGCTCATTCATTTATGCAACAAAACATGTTCCCTAGGTGCCAGGTGCTGCGTTGGGTGGGCCCTAGGAGTGGGGAGACCAAGTGAGACCCGGAGATGATTAAGAAAGACACTGGTCCTGTTCTCAGGGAGGCTTGCAGTCTAGTAGAGTAGATCCTAACAGTTATAGAGCACCTTCTGCTCACCAGGCAAAAGCCTATGAAATAAGTACTGGTATTACCTCCATTTTGCAGAAGAAACTGAGACTCAGAGAGGCTCAATAATGTGCCCTAAGTCACACAGCAAGTTAAGTAGCAGAGCCAGGACTTGACCTGTGCTCTTAACTCCTCTACCATATGGCCACCTTGTGCATAAATAACTCTAATGCATGGCTAAATGCGACAAGGCCCATGATTGAGTAAAGATAAAATGTTTTGGGCCTACAGGAAAGGGAAGGCTTCCTGGAGGAGGTGGCTTCTGGCCTGAGCCTTTGCAAGACAGGATGATTTGGACATGCAACATTTAGGGAAGGGGGGTGTAAGAAATTCTACCAATTGAAAATTGCAATAGCACTTGACCCCCACTCCTTGCCAACAACCCAACCCCAGGAGAGCAGCAGAACTGAGGCCAGCCTCTGAACGGCAGCACCAATGGAGGGTTCAGAAAAGGGTGAATGGCAAAGTGAGAAAGGGGAGCTGGAGAGAATAAAAACACAACCTAAGCCTGAAAATGGGGCGGGGGAGCAACAGGGCAGTTGCCAACAGGGAAGACAGGGAGAGGAGGTTGTCCTGCATACATGGGGGAGGGGGAAGGTAATCTCTATCCTGTACCCCCAGCACCCTGAGAATTAAAACCACAATCCTGACTCATGCACACAACGGAACACTGCGGGGCCATAAACTACAATGTTGGGAGGATATTTATTGACGTGGAAAAATGCTCACATATATTTCAAGTGAAAAGGCAGGTTGCAAAATAATATGTACAGTATGATGCCATTCTTGTAAGGGGAAAAATATCTTTATACAAGTCTGGAAAGATATACACCCAAAATTCCAACAGTGCTTATCTCCAGGTGGTAGATTATGCATTTTTATCATCTTTATACTTACCTATATTTTCTAATTCTTTTATTATAATAGGCATTATCTGTGTAATTGGTTAAGGCTTTTTTAAAATAAGTAAATATATCAATCATTTTTGCAGGGTAGTATGGGCAGGAAAAGAATAGCCAGCCACCTGGATCTAGGAGGTGGGGGAAGATGGAAGGTGGAAGGACTCACCCAGGAGGGGGGTGGGGGAGGATGGAGGGGGGGAAGGATTCACCCAGGAGGGGGATTGGGGGAAGGTAGAGGGTGAGAGGACTCAGCCAGGAGGGGTTGGAGAGGATGGAGGATGGGAGGACTCACCTAGGAGGAGGGTGGGGAGGATGGAGGGTGGGAGGACTCACCCAGGAAGGGTTGGAGAGGATGGAGAGTGGAAGGACTCACCTAGGAAGGGGGTGGGGAGGATGGAGGGTGGGAGGACTCACTTAGGATGGGAGTAGAGGAGGATGGAGAGTGGAAGGACTCACCCAGGAGAAGGTGGGGGGAGGATGGAAGGTGGAAGGACTCACTTAAGATGGAGGTAGGGAAGGATGGAGGATAGGAGGACTCAGGAGAGGGGTGGGGAGGATGGAGGGTGGAAGGACTTCACCCAGGAGAAGGTGAGTGGAGGGTGGAAGGACTCACTTAGGATGGAGGTGGGGGAGGATGGAGGGTGGGAGGACTCACCCAGGATAGGGGTAAAGTAGTAAGAAGATGCCTCCCTAATAGGACAAAGGACTTGTTACGAAGACTAGGTTGTGGGGCCCTGCCTCTTCCATCTTCTTTCCCTTCCCAAATCTCCACAGAGCTCAGAAGTCCTCCCACTCCTCAGAGGGGAGAAGTCTAGTATGGAAGCCCACAGATGCCCCATATAGGGCAGAGGCGAGGGATGGAGCCGTATTAAATCCCAAGGAGAGATGCCGGCTTGTCAGGCTAAGCCTGGGGCACGTGAGAGGAAGGCAGGCCTCTGAGACAGTAGTGAGCTTGGGGAGGCTCCTGAGGAGGGATATCCCATAACAACCCCTCCAGAGGCGGCAGGTAGCCCGGGATGACAGGAGAGGCAGCTTGGAGGGCCCTGAGAAGCAAATGACCTGGCAGTTAATCCAGGCCCCACTGATTGGCAACTTTAGGGCTGTCTGGGCTGGGAGCTCTGTGGAGCTCTTGGCCTGGTGGGAAGAGGTGGGCAGGGAACGTGAATAGCACTTCCCAGCCTTCTCTGATGGTAAGATAGGAAAGGCTGAGCAGACCCCGGTGGTCACTGCCTGTGTCACTTGGGTGTCGGCTATTCTCTTTGTTCCTGTCTGTTTCCCCTCTGTCATTCGCAGTTGAAACCCTTAAAATGGCCAGGAGCCTTCTTGACCGGATAATAATCAGAGCTGCTAAAATATCCATGGGCTGCCTTTAGAGGTGGTGAGCTTCCTGTCCCTGGAGATATTCACACAGAAACTGGGCCACTATCCTGGTCAGCTCTCAAGGGTTATTGAGTCAGAAAGAGAGTCAGACCTCTGAGGTCCATCCCATTCCTGAGATCCTCTGAGTCCATGAGAGTACATTTTAGGGGCAATGGCTGGGAAGAAGGCACCTGGCCTAAAAAATGAAATTGGTGAAGGCAGACATTCCCCATCCTGTCCCCAGTCCTCACAGACCAGCATCTGAAGGACACACGCATCTGCCTGCAGGACTGGCCCAGCAAGGATTCTGGTCCTGGAAGAGGTACCTTTGCCCTGTATGACCACCTGTTTGGGCAGAAGCAGGGGTTTCTGGTCAGCCTTGCTAGATGTACCAACCAGGTTACATGCCTGATACAATGAAAAGCAGAAGCATTTCAGCTCCAGGTCACCTGGGGCAGTTTACAAGGTCACAGGGTTCCTTGCACACTGAAATACTGGACCCATCATATTGGTCTTTTAGCAAACACATCAACATGAGAGCACAAACCTTCCGCAAGCATCCAGCAGCACACAGAATCAGGGCAAACATCAGCATCATCATCGTTCATAGACAGGGAAATCAACAAACATAAAAAGAAAAAAGCTATGAAAACTTGCATTGGTCGTACAAAACCTACAATTAATACAAATTATACTCAAACTGGATATTTCCCATTTCCCCCAAATGCAGCCTGATAACCACTGTATTTGTTGTTAAATGGAGAGGATTTTCTAGAAAAGCATACTTGGGCTTGCTTTAAGGGAGAGTGTCCCAGTGATGAGGGCTGCTGGACAGTGGGACCTGTTGCTGAGGGACAGTGTGCACTCCCGGTCCCTGGAATGCTCAAGTGGAGACCAGCTGTGATGGAGGGCTGGCTGGGTCTCCTCCACTCCCCTCTCAGATCCACTCTGTCTTCACCCTGTTCCTGCCCAAGGAAACTGACCAGCCTGGACCCCATCACAGGCCCTGACTCCTTCTGACTTCTGTGGGTCTGACTAGTGGGGAGCCATGGAAGGGGACCAAAGAGAAGAGAGGTGAACATTTCCCAGGCTGCCTCCCTGCAGAGTTTCCTTCCACACTGCTTCCTTTCTTCCTTCCTGCATCACACAGTCCCTGTGACATCTGGTTTGTGGTCATCACTCTCTCCTCTTACCAATCGCTTGCCTAAGGAGGGTCACAGCCAGGTAATACTTGTTACTAACCCCAAGGGACTGCACTAATCTGTGTGCTTTCTCTATACCCTGCCCACACCTTAATAAATTGTCCCTGTACTGAAAACCCCTGTGGAATTATCCTAATGTGAGTGTGCCATCTGTTTCCTGCCAAGATCCTGACTAATACACAGGATCCCTAATCAGACAAAAAAAGTAAACGATACAGTCTCTCTTCATTGTGCAGTTAAGTCAGTAGTTCCAGGAAATGTGAGTAAGATTCACTTGGTTGTCAGCTTCATTTCATTACGGTACTAAACTTGAGGTTATCAGTTGTGGCTTGTGGCTCACAACTTCCCAAACCATTGCTCCCTATGCCCACTTGTTCTATAGACGGAGAAACTGAGTCCTAGAACCTTAATCAAGATCACAAGCACACACAGAAGGCCAGGAACCCCAGGACCCCACCCCAGGTGCCTTCTCCGAGCGGAGCAAGCCAAGGGGGCTCTGCCACCCTTCCCTGTCCCCCTCCCACAACTGAGACTGCTGCCCCTTCTCTCCTCAGTCCCCTTTCCGCCCCAGTCCCTTGGGGAGGTGGGGGAGGCCCTTGGGGAAAATGATGAGGTTTTTATAGCATTTCGTGGTAAGCACTTAATAACTCTCCAGGCTATAGATCTCTGCCTCGCATGGGCTGGGGATAATTCACAGTAAAATATGACTTTTCATTTATCACACTGACGTGTAATAAATACTTCTCAGTGAAGCTTGGGCTCAAAAGGGGGGTGGGGTGAGCAACGATCAGATGAGGCTCTGTGACTGAGTGTTGGGGTTCAGCTTTATGGCAGGCAGACACAGGGGCTGAGCAAACCTGAGCCTGAGGCTAGCAGAACCCTGGGTCAAGGGGCACTTCCAACGTAATGAACCAAGGCTGCCCCTCAGCTCTCCACCAGCTT